TTTTCCTTAACTTCTCATTTTGCAATTTAACCAACTTAAGCTCTTCCATTAACCTATTCAACTCTATATCTGAAGATCCTCCTTCTTTCACCGCGTTTTTAGCCATTTCCGCTAACTCTTTTGCCCGCCTTCTCCTCTCTTCTCCAACCATCACTTCCCTCACCCCTTTCCTCACTTTCTCTCTGCTAATGAAATCTCCAACAACTTTCACCAGCTTCTTCACTCCCACACTCACTCCTGTTTTCAACACTTGTGTCACCAACTTCTCGTTGTAGAACTGCTCGGCTCCCACGGGCCATGTCACCATTGGAAGGCCCGAGGCTACCCCTTCTAGAAGCGAGTTTCATCCACAATGCGTCAAAAATCCACCAATTGCTTGGTGGTCTAGTATCAACACTTGGGGCGCCCACCCGCGGATTATCAATCCTTTCCCTTTCGTCCTTTCTTCAAACTCCTCTGGTACCCACTCTTCCTTCTCTCCTGCTCAAACATCATCAAGCAATCTTTAATATTATAAACAAATTTTATTTCCTAATTATTGTAAATCACAAACAAAAAGAAAGCATTGTATTTGAAAACAATTTTGTGAAAAATGAAAACATGTTACATGTTTAAATCTGATTTTTTAGAAAGAAAATTCTTCACATGTAAAAGAAAGTGCAAAAGTTAGCAATTGAACTTAAACCATTAGTTTTCTCTAAACAAACAGAGGATTATGCTGCAAGTAATAGCTAGAGAGATGTCTATGATTACCTTGGCTGCCATTTTTCTTAACCACCCAGACAAAATCATATCCTGACATTTCTAAAACAGATGCAATCTCTATAAGCTGCTCGTTGTTGAAGCTTGTCAGGGTTCCAAAGGACACGTAAATCACTGAATCACATCTCTTGGAATCAAGCCATTTCAAACATTCATGCTCATCAATGCTCGCCTTTTTGCCCCTTCCTGCTTTTTCCTTGAACTCTCTGTTCCCTAAAGAAAGCGGACCGATATTCCAAGCTCTTCTCGCCACAGAACTCTTGAAAAAATCTGAATAAGCCGGTTCAAGCTCGTAGAAGCTATTCACCAACACACCAAAGCTATTTCTCTCTGAATCTCTAAATTCCTTTATAAACTTCCCCATAAGAGACTCTTCTTCTTTCTCTACGACTTGTTCCTCTGTAATCACAATGTCTCCTGGGAGATCAGGAATCACAAAGGGCTCGCAACTCGAAGCTACCTTCTTGTAAGGCTTATGGAGCCTTAGGCAATGAGAAGCACATAAAGAGAAGTAGCCTGTGCCGTGGAACACAAGTCTTGGTACGTTAAACTTCTCAGCGACTTTAGTTGCCCAAGGGACGAACATATTGGCGACTAGACAGTCTGGTTTCTTTGTCTTGATGAGCTGTTTTAGTTGCTCTTCGAAACAATTCATTGCGAGTATAAGCTTGTCAGTCAAGTCATCTTTACTTAGGTCAGGGCAAGAGAAGATGAAATCGGTATTCTCGCAACCTTGGGGTAAACCGAGCTCTGTGCAAGGGAAATTTAGGATCTTGATGGTGATATTTTCGAGTTTCGGGTTGTTGTGGTTGAATGATTTGATGGGTTTTTCGAAGAGAATGGAGTTGAGAGGTGTAGTGAGGATTGTGGATTTAGCTCCTTTGGTCGCAAAGAGCTTAGCCATGTCAAGAGTTGGTATCATGAGCCATCATAGGGAAGAGCAAGAAATGGAGTTTAGAGACTTTTTCAGAAGTTTCCATGTTTTGGTTGATGAGAAAACAAGATCTGTGTTTTTTTTTTAAACCAAATTAAGATTTAGATCTGTGTTTTTGCAGAGCTAAGTAGAAACTAGTTTTCTTTTCTTTTTTTCGAGATTGGGTTTTGAGAATCGAAATATGAAATGTGTATATAAACTATCAGAGCCCGGATACAGACGATAAAACAGAAAATTATTAAATGATAAATTATTGTATTCGATATAAAATTGGTAATAATTCATAAATCATTATAATCGTCCGTGTATTTTCGCTTTACAAATCACAAAGAAAGTTGAATCTCACGTCGTGGCTTTCGTTGTCTTTTAGTTGAATCATAATATCTTCTTTTAGTTGTCTTTTAGTGTTTTTTGTTTTCCTTCCAAAATAATTTGGCATGAGGCAGATATCTCATTAACTCATAAAATAACATAAGTTTATAATAATATAGTGTTGAGTATTTGAGAATCCAATGTAATTTATTTTTTTCAAACATAAGAAAACCAATATGCTTGATCAAAAATTAAAGAAAACTAGTTAAACGAACACTAAGCAAATCTTGGAACAAACCACTTAGCATGATTTAAAAAAACATCTAATTTTCTTAGGGCAAGTGATTTTACTTGTCGCAAGATCGAACACACCATTACTTATCCAAGCCTCATTATCTTCATCAATGAAACCAATTGAGTCACTCTTGAATCCACCACCGACATCTTGAACCGGTGCTCTTATTGTAACCCCATGACCAAATATCAATATCTCATTATCTCCTATAGATTCTACTATTTCCCATTTCTTACTCTCAAGATTCATCTTAAAGATGTAAAACATTAAACGTTTATCTTCAAAAGATTTTACGCTCAGGATGATTAGAACCTCTCCCGAGCTTCGAATCGCTATCTTCTTCCTCCAAAGGTTACCCCATGGACAATAATACTGAAAAGGATGGTCACGATACGGGTTTTCTTCGATTTCTTCTTTAGGAAAATCTCTAGAGAAATCAAGAATCCTGATGTGATCATCACAAGTATACATGTAAAGCTTGTTGTTCTTATAAGCCATATCCAAAATACTCAACCTTGTGCCATCGACATTACAACTCCACCACGAATCATCTCCTTTCTTGTGTGTGGACAAGTACTCTTGTTTGAAAATACAAGCAACAAAATAATCCCCTGTTTTCTCGTTTATCGACAAAACAGCTAATTGCCTGAATCTGATGATGCTTTTCGCAACGAAATCCTTAATTACCATTAGGTGGTCCGACGAAGTATCCACAATCGCCTACTTGATGGAATCTCACTTTCCCGCCGCGTATCGAAGACTCCATTAAGGGAAGATTGATCCTTTCTCGAGTTAACACATTCAAAAGATAGAAATCGAGACGAGGATCTACTAGTAGGAGCCAATTCCCGGAGGTAGCCATACAATAGCTGTTATCAGAGAAATCGAGTCCAAGGTGTTTTGTTTCGTAAAACTTGTCTTCTTTAGGATCGAACAACATCGAAGAATCACCTAAAAATATGATCCCCCATGGATTTGGAGGTGCCTTCACGCATGTTCTCCAAACTTTATACCAATCTGAGCAAACGGTTTTTGCTCTTTGCAAATCAATAAAGCTCAAGCTTGAGTTTTCGAGGATCACTCGTAAAAGATCAGGACAAAGTTTGGACCAATCATGATCTCTAGACACGTGTTTTTGTCTCTTCTCCTCTCTCATCAAATCCGTGGACATAACTATGTCTGCTTCAACTAGGGTTTAGTTTTGCTTCTTTGATCAATGTAAAAAAACCTAATTTATGCTTGCTTGGGAATTTTAAAGTCAATGTTATTTATGTCGCTATGGCTTAGTATTTATTACAATCATGCCATCGACTTGGGCCTTTTCTTGATTATAGCCTAATTAGAGATTTTAAGCATTCCCTTAGGCCAGGGACTTTACATATTGTCATACCAGGGACTTTACATATTGCCATAACCTTATGTCCATGCTAAACCTTGGATATAAGGAGTGATAAATTAGCCGACATGTTATTGAGATCAGGCCTGATTGAGATTAACTAATGCTTATATAATTTAACCCAATGCACAAATTATAGACTTG